GTTTCCTAGTTTCCAGCACCCCACGCACGCACTGAGTCTGCGCTCTGGTGCGGATGGCTGGGGCTGGGTGTTCAGCAGTCCTGGGCTCCCTCCCCCTCCCTGCTGACTCCTCTCCTCCCTCTGGGAGCTGGGGGGAGGGGCCTCAGGTCTCCCCGGACTGGGGCTTGTATCTTACCCCTTTCACCAGGCGCTGGGTTCTTGCAGGTGTGGGTGTAGTCTGGCTGTTGTCCTGTGTCTTCTGGTCTCTCTTTTAGGATTAGTTGTATTTGTTGTATTTTCAAAAATATATGTTTTTGGGAGGAGATTCCCACTGTCCTTCTCACGCCGCCATCTTGGCTCTGCCCTGGGCTTCTCATTTTTAATGCTCCTCCAGAAAGGCATTCAGGGAATAGCAAAATAAGTACACAGGAATTTAAGACTAGAAATCTTTTGAGGGCCTTGAAATCATATATTCAGACTCAGATTACTGAGTTTCGTGATGGGACAGATGTTAAGTAGAAAATCCATCTGACTTCAGCTTTGCTTTTATTCCTGACAGTGAAGTTCACCAACTGCATACCCTGCTGTACCCTTCTTCTGATCTGTACCTTCTGAACCACTGCAAAATTCCTTCTATCCAAAGGCCAATCTACTGAGCATGGAAATTTGGGAGCATTGAGAATGCATCATAATACACTAAACTTGACTTCCTGCTTGATAGGTTATCAGATAGATACTGTAGCCAAAGGGGTTCATATTTTACCTGGATACATAGACAAGTCTTAGGATATGCTGACATATAGTCTTCATTCATGGAAATACTATTAGTTAGGTTCATAATTGACTTCTCCTACTCAGTATTTTTACTGCATTACTTTTAATTAACATTAATTTAAAAATAATTTTATTTATTAATATTTAACTAATTGCACAGAGGGGCACAGTCATGACCAAATCAGCAGGGGACATAAAGATGGCAGGACTAAATGTAAAGCATGCTTAATAAAATCAAGATCCAACAAGATTCTAACAGGACGGGAATACCGGTCAGCGAGAAATACAGACCCCCATACTTCATTTTGAAACTGCAATAACCAAGTGTGACAGGAGGAATATGACTTGGAAGCATCATGACAGAGACCCGTGTAGATGTCAGCACCGATCGCGAAGGCAGCTCACCAGCAGGGATGATGAGACGCAGGCTTCTGGTGCGTCATGAGAAGCTAATGCAGCCAAAGGAGGGCACAGCGGTTGTGGATGCTTTAGGAGGGAATGGCTAGCCAGATAGTTTCTTATAAGAAGTGGTCACAGAAACTGAGGATTCTTATCCTTGGAGAAGAAAAAGAAGCATCAGTATGATACTGACCTTCAAGCATGAAACTCACAAGAATCACCAGCCTCGTCTTGTTCTCGGAGACCTACACTGCTTACAGGGGACGAGACCTAGTGAGTCAGTTCTGGTTCAATGTTAGAAAATTTTGTATTGATTAGATGCCTGAAAGTGGAATGGGCCTTTTATATTCATGCCGATACATGTATAAAATGTTTTCACCACAAAAATGAAGAGTTAAAACAAATTAGGTTGATACACTGTATGGAAAACACCTGACATGTGGCAAACATGAGGAAAGGTGGGGAAAACTGCATGAGTGGTCAGACTACTTTGTTCAGTGAACACTTCTGAATGCCTCTTATATCCCAGGCTTTTAAAATCCTTCCTGACACTGAGGTTATGATGGGGAAACACGAGATGTGGCGAGAGCAGAGACACAGGGATCGCAAAGCCAAGGTTTTAATCCAACTGCCTCCCCCCCCCCACAACCATTTACGCGCCCTTAAAAAGACACTTAGATCATTTTTAACTGTCAGTATTCTTACCCTTAAAATAAGGAGAAGCTGCAAGTAGGTGGGATGTTAGATAAATATCTCTAAAATGCCTTTCAGGCTTGAACTTTCAGGTATCCTGTGAAAAGCAGTGTTGTACCATCTAATCTTATTCTATATATTTAACTATCCGTGAGAATGTTGGTGTATGTTAGACATCAGCTTTTGGTGTTGGCTCCATCCACAGCCATGAAGCCGCACACCGGTCCTCATGCAGGTTGACATACTTGGTACCTTGACTCCACCACATGGTCTCTGCCGACCGCTGATGCTGACCTAAGGGCACTGGACTGTGTGATGGGGTCCAGCACAAAATATAACCAGATTCTCTCAAGAAATTGGCATGTAAGACATTAAAAAGGCAAGGCTGGCAGAAGGAAGAGGAGCAGGGTTCGGCCAAGCCCGTTCAGTCTTGCCTTGCACAGAAGGAGCAGCTCTGCACCTGCACGGTCAGTCCCTGGAACAGCTCGGTCTGCAGGCGGTTCCAGTCTCCCAGAAGCCTGTGCGTTCGCTAGGACTGTTCCTTCCCTCCTTACTTTCTGGTGCACCCTCATAAAAAACCCCACTAACCGAGATAACCCAAGCCAGTCCCTGTTACCTGGGTCCTAACAGGTAGTAACTCCCGGAGGGGAGCCGGAACGACCCCCAGCTCTGGCCTCTCCAGCAGGGAATCTTCCTTGACTGCCCCTCATCCTGGTTTGAAAAGTGCATTCTGGTCTCCACTACAACAAAAAAACTTTTGCCAAATGGAACCCTAAAATCATCACATGTAATTAAAAAATTCTTTGAGAAAGTTAAATTTTAAGTGGAGAAATCACAAAACTATTGAAGTAGCATTGGGGTGACAGTGCATGTACTGCACTCTCTTAAAAGGTAAGAAGCCAGGATTCTGACTCCCATTCGAAGCCTTGTAATACAGTCTTTGAGAGGATCTGGGCCTAAAGTCACACCCTTAAAATTAGAAAGGTGTCACCTGCCTGACAGGTAGGTGATTCCTTTAAGTATTTCCCATCTCTAAAGTCAAAGATTTTCTGGCTAAATAAACAAGATTCCACTCTAACCTGTTCTTGTTGGTGTCCTGTGGCAAGCAGGCGCATGGACTGAACAAGCACATAGTCCAAGACACTTGGACCCGGAAGCAGAGCAGTCCTGTGACTACCAGGGTGACGCAGTCTGACCTCATACACCCTGATCAGAGCACCTTTAAGGGGAAGTGGGGTACTGGCAGTTGCAGACATTACTCAGGACATTTAAATGTTACTGAGCGCCCAGAAAATATTTTGCTCTTTAATTTATGCAAAGTTTGAGTTTTTATTTTTAAATACCCTTAACCATAACTTAATAAAATTGCAATGTGAAGCAAAAGAATGTTGAAAAGTGTTTCAATTCTTATGACTTTCTTAATTAGGTTTTTATCTGAGGAGAAGACATTTCTTTCCTATATTTACTGCTAAGTGACAAAACTACTAAAATTTTATTCAGGTGGCAATTAACTGCTACTTCCCCCTTGTTATTTTTATTCCATTTCAAAATGATTTTTTTTCACTTTTTTAACTGAAGTATTGTTGATATTAAAATGATTTCTTTTAAATAAATCTCATTAAATTTATTTTAAAATATCACAGATGTTAACTCCAACGATTTTGTGAAAAATAATCTTTCTCAATACATGAGAAGCGTCTCTCCTGTACATTTAGATTCAGTAATAAAAATGAATTCGCGCTGTCCCCCAGCCAAGCCGCTCCCAGTCAGCTCAGTGCATACCTCTGCTTCCACGTGATAAGCGTTTTCCACTCTTCTAGAATCTTTCATCACAGTTACATCTTCTGCCTGAAACAAAGAGTGCAAGAGTATGATCACTAAATGTTTGGCTGTGGCATATAGTGCACGAAACGCGCAGTGGAAACCTCAACTTGACTAAAATTAGAATGACAAAAACTGCAGAAAGAACTGGTTTGCCTAATGTTCTAAAACTTTCCGGAAAATAACATAAATTCAGAAGCCTACAGATATTTGTTGAAAATTTCATAATTGTCATTTCATTTATAGTAATTTTCACATTAGCTTGTATAGAAATTATGCATTTATGGTGCAGTGTGTGTGTGTGTGTGTGTATACATATATATATATGGAATTTATATGTATATATGGAATTATATATATATATATATGGAATTATTTGTAGATAAAGCATTCTGAATGTTACAGGAGTGTTAGGGTTTTAAAAATGTTCAGTTTACAAGTAATTGAATACCTATAGTTTGAATACCTATAGTTTGAATACCCATCATATGCAACTTTGGGCAAGGCACTCAACCACTTTCAATCTTAGTTTCTGCATTTATGAAATTAAGCTAATACATGTATACTATATAGAATTGTTTTGAGAATTTAATGAAACATTTATATAATGTGCTTGACAGAGAAGGCACTCAGCAAATGTACATGCTATAGAATACCAAGGGGCAAGTAGCAGTTAATTGCCACCTGAATAAAACTGATGTTTCCCGAAATACTGACCCAGACTAGTTTGTTTTTAGAAAAGTAACAGTAATGCTTTTTGATTCTCTGGATACATAATTCTGATGCAAAAGTTAAATTTCTTATGCATTTTTCAAGATTTTCAAATTTAGTGAAATAAACTCTTCACCTGCTCTCCTTGGGGACAGGCAGACCTACAGTTTACTATTCTTTTGTATCTTCCAAAATAGATGCCAAATAAATATAAGGATTATTATGCCCAATAATGATTTAATTGTAAGCTATTTCATAGGGGATTTAGCTGCACTTGAATTTTAAGATAACACTAATTTCAAGAGGTTTACTTTATGCAGAGGATATGGGAACTCACTCTACTATCTCAGCAACCTACCTGTAAATTTAAAATTATTCTAAGATAAAAAGTCTCTTAAAAGTAGGTTACAGAACAGCAATGTAGAACATAATTTCATTTATGAAAAGGTCTCTATTATACATGGATCTAGATAGATTTATATGCATTGACAGATGATTCAGTAAAATGTTTACTGAAATATTAACATGGGATTTGGAGACATTACTTCTTGTTCTTTTCTCTCAGTATTAGATTTTCTTTAATTAGCACGTGATTTTTATAAAAACAATAACACTGTTAAGTGTAGCAATAAAAGATACTATCTTTCCAGCTACCTCTCCTGAAATTATTTCTCCAAAAATTTTTCAATCAGAGGTTTGATATATATTTATGAAGTGGGTAAATATGAAGACATCCAAGAAAAGATGTGTTTATATTATAAAATATTAAATGACAGATGTTTCACATTAAGTGAAAGAGCTGATGACAAATAATATATACAGTACTGTTTTATATTAACCTATATTCTAAATTTTCTACAATGAGCAGGTATAACCTTTATCATTAAAAAACTCAATATTTTCATGACAGTGGCAGACATCAGAGCTATAACTGGAATTTCAGTTCAGATTTTCAGGTCAAAAATTTTTTTAGAACTTTTCTGCACAATATAAACCTTGAAAGTTTTGGTCAGGTATTTTAAAGGAAGGCCCTCAATCTGGGTTTCTCTGAACTTCCTGTGCCAGACCAGGATGCTAGGTTTCGGGAAGGAACACCAGCAAGGTGAGGCGCCATTCCCATCACGACATGTCAGCAGGTGCGTGACATCAGGACATCGCTCAGGACATCGACCTTGATCACGTGGTTAAGGCCGTGTCTGCCAAGGTCCCCCAGTGTAGTCACCATTTTTCCCTTTCCATGCTTTATTCATCAAAGGCAAGTTACTAAGTCCAGCCCACATTCATTCAATAAATGCTATGTTATTAATGTTGCTGCTCGAATTGTTCTAGCTCTAGCTGTTGGGATTTCTTTCAGGTTGTCTCCCATATCCCTTTGACGTACCCCCGTCCTTTTATTTTTTGAATACTTCCTTACTTTCTGCCTTATGTTGTAGTTTCTTGCCTAGCCCTTTCTTTGAATTGGTATTTGGAACTATGGTCTGGGTTCTACGCTCATTCCACTGGAGTCACTGCCTGTAGGCCCACTTAGTGGGCAGTCTGGTAAAAGATGTGTGTGTACAAACTCGTGTATACACATACACCTACAACTGTTTCTATGTCTATCCATCTCAATATATACTAAGCCAAACATGAGTTCATAGCGATGTTTCCGACTTAGTTCTGAACCACAGAGTTCCCTCTATGACCTTCCCTTATCAGTGACTTCCCTCTCCAATAGTGAGAGACTTGGCCCTCATCACCCACCAACCACTCTCATATTCAAGGTTAGTACACATATAGTTTCAGAATTGTTAACTAGTATCCCCTTGGAAAACAAATTTACCAACTATAGTGTTTATGTATCTTTCATCTGTATCCTTAGTTTCCAGCCGAAACATCATTTTCCAAAAGTTACTTAGGAGATTCCTCACTCCCGAACCCCGTGTTCATTGCAGTTACATTCATTTGTAAAACAGTTAGGTTCACTTTTCACAGTCTGGATTCTGTCCAGGACTGATTCTTTTTTCAAAATTTGCATACATTAATCTTCAGTCTTTGTGCTTTTCAGCTCTGTGAGTTTTGACAAATGCACATTTATGTATTCACCTACCTAGTACCACAACCCTATAGCTTTTTGGCTTTTCCTGAATGTCACATGAATAGATCATGAAATACATACCTTCTGGATCTGGATTAACTTTCACTTATTACATACATCTAAGATTCATCATGCTGTTCTGAGAATCAAAAGCTTCTACTTTTTTATTGCTGAATAGTATTCCAATGCATGGATGTACTAGTTTATCCAATTCCCTGCTGATGACATCTTGGTTGCTTCCCAGTTTAGTGATAGATGAATAAAACCACTATAAACATCCATGTGCAAATTTTTATGTGAATGTAAGCTTTCCATTCTTTTGTGTGAGTTAATGGTTCCTTCAGTGAGACTATGTTTAACTCCATAATAAACTGCAAGGTGGCATTGCAAGTAGTTGCGCCATTTTTCAGTCTCATCACAAGGAACGAATATTTCTGTTGCTATCTTTGCCAGTATTTGTTATCATGAGTGATAATGGAATTTAGCCATTCTAATAGGTGCATAGTGTATCTCCTTGTGGTTGTAATTTGCATTTCCCTAAGAACAAATAATGTGTTGAGAAAATACATACTCTTTTCATGTGTTGATCTGCCATCCTTTTTGGTGAAGTGTCTGTTCATGATGACACAGGGCCTTCTTCTGTGCTCCGCAGTCTGGGTTCCCCTCCGCATTCCCCAGGCCCCGTACCCCTGTGTCCTAGCCATAAGGCACTGCATCTGCATAAAGTGCTCTGGACATTCTCACCTGCTGCACTCTGGTGAGACTGCAAGGCTCTCCCTTCAACCATTGTTTAAGATTTGTCACTTCCACTATGAAATCCTTCCAGAATTCCTCAAGTAAAATAAACAGTACTTCGTTTCTTAACTCCGTTGCATCATGTGTACGTCTCATCACGACACATACTGTGTATCAGTCAATTCTGTAGGAGACTGCTCACCACAGTGCTTAAGTTTTACTCATGTTCTATTTCTGGTGCCTAGCAACATGCTTGAAGCATCCATTATACACTTACTGAAAAAATATAATTAAAAGTATGCAAATCTTGGAGCTTACAGCCTATGGGGAGGGGACACAAACCAGAAAACAATTACACAGTATATTAAGTGCTATTTAAAAATGAACAGTGATAGGGGATGCTTAGTAAATGTTGGATGGTTGAGTAAATACTGCTTAGAATTTTAAAACATTTTTCTATGAAAACAATACCAAAATGAGGGTTATACTTTCACATATGAAAATTTGGGATCATAAAACTATGCATAATCTGTAATATAGTTGAACTAATAGTTTATTCACTTAGTGCTTCATTTTCTTTTTAGTCATTCAAGAACTATTTTCTAAGTATACATTATGTCATATAACATGTGTAAAGAATATCCCATGAATGCAGAGCAAACAAGCACAAAATGGTCTTGCTCTCCAGAGGTTTATAATAATGAGGAGAGACAAGTAAAACAATTATAATACAGAGTTTTATTAAGTTTTATTACAAATGGGAGTGGAGTGTGGTATTGCAGGGTGTAGTATCATGTTGGGAAAGGAATGCCAAGGTGAGCAGGGGCTTGTTCTTAAATGGGAAATAACAGGAGTCAGCTAATAAATGAGGGTAGAGAGACACCCGGATATGCTAGCTAGGGTCCATCTATTAAACAAAGGAATGTAAGGAGCCCTTTCAGCAGGGGACTGATACATATAAACCCAAGATCACAAAGTTTAAAATGAACTAAAGATTTTGTGAAGACTCATTATTTGTCCTGAAAAGTAGTATAAATGATTTTTTTGTATTTTCTACTGAACAAATTATCTACATGCCTGTTTTCCTCCATCATAGATAATTTAGAGATTACGAACCTTTCATGTGTTGCCTTGAACACTAAATCTTAATTTAACCACTATAAGTTGAATGTAGCAATTCATTTTGTTTCATGTAGAAGTTATAGCCATGAGTGCTCAGTGTACATTTTATGTAAATAGCTTAAGAATTTGTTGTATTATTCAAACAGGACAGCAACTTTTTGCAGAAATGTTTTTTACACCTTAACTCATTTTATTCACACTGTTATTAGCATTTGAATTCTTCTAGACTAAAATCCTTTACAGTATCTTTTTCAAATAACTTCTAAAATAACTCTCTTTAAATGCAGTACAAATGATTTTCTCATTAAGGACTTGCTTTTTTGAGGGTCATTTCTAATAGACTGGAAGCACTTTCATGAGTTCAGTGTTACCCTGGATAAACCACAATTCTGGCATGTCGAGTCCTACTCTGTAAAATGAGGGAATTCTGGTAGTTGACCCATTCTGTCGTTTCTAATTTCCTTTCATTCTATGGAGCCTGTCATAGAGGCAAATCACATCTAAGTGTCAGGAGTACAGGACTTAAAATACTACCCCGGCTAAAGTTCAGATCATTGCTTAACCTCTTTAAAATCTGCAAATAAGGCTATTAAGGTCTGCCTAATAGGGCTGTTGTGCGGATTAAATAGGCTGGTTCTTTCATTTTTCTTTTCCTAAGTAGGCTAATGATAAGGTTTAATTACTGATTTGCTTCATGGACATCTCTCGTCAGGTCAGGTGTTTCATAAATGCGGCATCTACACTATGCTGGCTTGATTATTTTTTTTAAGTTTAAACTAAAAAGTTTTGAGAAATCTTTTACTGAAATGGATGCAACACCCTTCCACCCCAACCCCCGTTAGTGTTTGAAAAATACCGAAGGGCCACTACCGGCAAAGCTCTGCGCGTCTGGCTGTGCTTTTTACTTGCGGATTCCGTGGTGAGAATAAAACAAAAAGTGAGCGTTTGTATCTGACGTTTCCCGTTTAACAGCTCCTCACGTCAAGGTTAAAAATCGCTACTGCAGCAAGCGTCGGCAGACAAAGCTTCCCTCGATTTTTTATCTCACCAGTCGCAGCGGCCGCCACTGAGCCCGCCTCCGAGGAGCGCAGGCGCGGACCCGGGCCGGGGACCCCCC